CCTTTCCTGGTGTCCCCTCGCCCCAGCTCACAGTCCTCCCGCCAAGGTCATCTTGCGCTTGCTTCACACATGTTTTTCACATGCTCATACATGTGTACACGTCTTCTTCCTTGTTCAGAATATAAGCTTCTTTTTAAAAATTTTTAGTCATTTTAAATTTAACTACAAAATGAGAAAAGAAAAAAGAACATTGCCTTGTACACAGCAAACCATAAGAGAGGATTCAAGAGAAAACAATCCATTTCCATTTTAAGAAAACCTACAGAATAAAGACTACAGGTTGTTCTCAAATCTGCCCAGCTTTCCTTTGTTTCCTTGCAGGTTTTCTTTTGTTCTCTGCTGGGCACTTTTTACTTTGTTTTTTCCCCTCCCTCCCCCCTAAAGAAGGCTACAATTAAACTCGGATATCTATAAACATACACATATATACACGTATACACTCATATGTATACGTGTATATATATATATATATATATGTGTGTGTGTGTGTGTGTGTGTGTGTGTGTGTGTATATATATATATATGTGAATGAACCATAAGGAATCTTTGTTTTGGAACCAAATATTGCTAGCGACAATCTTTAAATTTTAAAAAATGTATTTATTCTAACTTCAAATTCTTATTTTCTCCAGCATGAGTTTCTTTAAATCTCTAACAGTATTCTTGAAATTATTTTTAATTAAGCCTTTGGTGTATACATACATGAAACAATTTCAATTGCTTCATCAGATCAAGAGAAACATAAAACATCTTAACCCACCAATATATGCATGCTGCTCTGTGATAGTATAATCTGTTTGGACGCTTTGTGATATATGGCAATGTGAACCTGTATTATTTTTCTGACCAGAATAAAGGAAATGGTACTGTGGTGAACTGTCTGAAGTTATATAGAGCAGGAGTGTGTTATTGTATTATCAATGGGCTAGCTCACTCTTGGAAAATCTATGTAGCCGAACTTTCCTTCTCATTTATAAGACTGCCCCATTTTATGTAAACAACTGATTTCGGTTATTAATGAGTTAAAGGCCATTTTTCTGTTAGTTGTGAAGCTAGAGTTGAACAAAGGTTAGAGAGCAAATATATGATGTAAAAAGTGTAAAAGAAATCATAGGGTCGATCTGTGAAGAAACCACACAAGAGGCTTGGAGAAAGTGCCCATGCTGCTGAAAAAACAGATCCATAAAGCAAATTATCCCCAAAAGATTCTAATTGATTAAAACAAGTAAACAATTTTACAACCCCTTAGGGCATTAACCAGGCCCAATATTAAACAGAATATGAAATACTTATTGGCCAAAATCTCTCTGCTATCAAAGGTTTAATATTGTATTTATTTGTTCCAAATGAAAACTTAAAGAAAATTTGGGGTTACTAACATGTCCTTTAAAAATGAAACAAAAATCCAAGAGTGTCTGGATAATCTTTGTATATATCATTTCATGTTATTTCTTCTTTTTCCCCCAAATAAAATGCCCAGATGAAAAAATAAATAAATCAACCAGCTCATCATTTCTTACACCACAGAAATATCCCAACCCAATCATACCCTATCTGAGAGACTGTCTATGAAAGTTTTTTCCCCAATTTTCATCATTCCTTCTATTCTTGGCCACATTGGCTTTATTTATATAAGAAAATTTTCATTTAAAAAAATCAAAATTATTCATTTTGCACCTCAACAATTCTCTTACCTTATAGTTTAACATCTGATACTGCTGGATTTCCTTACTTTACATCTTTTTTCCCCTGGTTTCTTTGAAATTCCTGACCTTTTATTCTTCCAAATGGACCTTTGTTATTATTTTTTCTGGCTTAGTAAGAAAATTTCTTAGTAATTTAATTGGGTTGCCATTGAATAAATAGCTAGGTAAAATTGTCATTTTCTTACCACATGGGCTTCACCTACCCATGAATAACAAACATTCCAATGATCTAGATCCGACTCTATTTGCATAAAAAGTGTTTATGTTCATATAACTCCTGCGTTTGTCTCGGCAGGCATATTCTCAGGCACTCTATACTGTCTAGGTATTTTAAATGGTTTAAAACAGTATTAAATGATATTGCTGACACATAGCGCAGTTTCCCTAAAACTACACTTTCCTCTTTTCTCTTTTAATTAAATCTCTTTTTGCTTTAACTTTGTCTGAGATCATGAATATTACCACCCCTGCTTTTTTTTACATAATAAATTCTGCTCCTGACCTTTATTTTATCTTTGTGTGTATATCTCACTTTTATTGTTTCCTGAAAGCAACGTACTGTTGAATTCAAAAATTTGATCTGTTATCCATTTCCGCTTTATGGGTAAATTCATCCCATTCGAATTCTAAGCTACAATTACTTGCATGTTTTCCTCCTTTCTGTTTTTCCTCACTTTCCTTCTCACCCTATTTACCTCATCCCTCCTTATTTCTCTGCTTTACTTCTACCTGCTACCTTGCCCACCTATTCCTTTACTGACCCACCCCTCTAAGAATCCCTCCCTTATCCTCTTCCCCCACCCTATCTCCTTGTCTTTTTATTTATTTCTGAATTTAGAAGACTTTTTTTTAAATACCCTGCTAGATGTATATGTTGTTCCCTCTTCACCGTATTCCTGATGAGAATCAGGTTCCAGCACCATCCACCCTCCCCCCACTATCTTCTACTGTATCAATTCTTCCTTTTATACCTCATTTGTATGAGATAATTACTCCTTTATCTCTCCTTACAGTTTTTTTTTTTAGAATCATACACAGGTCAACCCAAGCCTTTCTTTCAAATTACCCAAATAAGGATGACAGTCATAAGAGTACTTATAGCATTTTCACATATAAGAAGTAAACAATTTGACCATATTGGGCCCTTTAGAATTGGTCTTTAGTGTTTACCTTATATTTCTCCTGGGTGTTATATGTTGAATTTTCCCTTAAGTTCTTCTGGGTTGTTTCTTTTTTTCCCACAAATACCTGAAAGTCTTTCAGTTCATTAAATGTCCATTTCTTTTTTCATTCAGGACTATACTTAATTTTTCTGGATAAGTCACCCTTAGTAATAACCCCAGATCTTTTGCTCTATGAAATATAGTATTCTAAGACCTACAGTCCTTCAACATAGCAGCTACTGGGTCTTGTGCAATCCTTATTGTAGCTTCATGATGTTTAAACTGTTTTTTTCTTGTTGCTTCCAATATTTTCTCTTGGGAGAAAGCCTGGGAGCTTTGAAACTTGGTAATGATATTCCTGTAAGTTTTCCTCCTGGGATCTCTTTCAGGTGGTGGTTGGTGGATTTTTTTCTATTTCTGTTTTGCCTTCTTGTTCTCCAACTTCAGGGCAATATTCCTTGATAATTTCTTCTGTTGTATTAAGATTCCTTTTTATTATAATTTTCAGGTAGTCTGACTATTCTTATATTATTTCTACTCAATCTATTCTCCAGATCAGTTATTTTTGCTGATGAGATGTTTCACATTCTCTTCTATTTTTTATTCTTTTGACCTTGCTTTATCATTTCTTGGTGTCTGTCATTAGCTTCCCCTTGCCCAATTCTAGTTTTCAAGGAATTATTTTCTTCTTTAAGTTTTTGATTGTCTGTTTCAAATTGGTTAACTTTCTTTTCATAGTTTTCTTGATTTTCTTGGATTGCTCTTGTTTTTTTTCTAATTTTTCCTTGCCTGTTCTTATTTAATTTTTAAACTCCTTTTTGAGTTTTTCCAAGAACTCTTTTTTATGCTTTGGACCATTTGGCGCTTCCCATTAAAAAGGGGGGAGGCTTTTGTAACTCCATTATCTTCCTCTGAACATGAACCCAGATCTCTATTCCCCATAGTAGCTATCTATGGCTGGGTTCCTTCTCCTCTGCTTACATTCATTCATTCATTTGTTTATTTAATTAGTTGTATAATCAAGTTGTAGTCCCAAGGTGTGGGGGATGATGCCTCAAGCCTCAGGGCCTTCTTACTGCTATTTCCTGAGCTTTGTTCTGGGGCCCAACCCTGGGCTCTCCTCTCCACTCCTAAGCCACAGCTAGGGCCCCTAGACATGCTGTCCTAAAAATGCTCTTGCTCGCTGCGGTCACTCTGGTGACGGCAAACAACAGCTCTCCTGTCTGCCTCAGAATTGAAACCAGGGACTCTGCTCTCCTGCAAATGCCCTGCCCCTCTGCTACTGCCCTCACCAGGCGTGGGTGAGCGCCTTCTCCCCCACAGCCCATCCCGGGATGTGTCTTATCAGCACAGCCATGCTTGCAGTCCCTCCCCAGTGGAAGGTCCTCCAGTCTCCTCCTGCTCAGCCTTCCAGCCCCATGGCTGTCCTCTCACAGCTGAGGCTGCTTCTCAGGGTGCTGCCCTGTTGATTCTGCAGAGCAGAGAGGCGTTTGAACCTCTGCCCCTGGGGTGGAGTCTTTCCTGGGGTCTTCTCAGTTTGTCTTAAGAAGACAATTGCTTTATCCCAACTTTCATTTATTTCTGCTGCTTTACGATCCCTCTGAGGCCAAAGCTGTCTTTTTTTGTGGAGGAAATTTGGAAAGCCGAAAGTTTTCTGACCTACTCTGCCATCTTCTCAGAGTCCTCTCCCAACATAAGCTTCTTGAAGGCAGGGATGGCTTCCATTTTCTCTTTGTCCCCAGAGCTTTAGCACGGGGCTGGGCACACGGTAGGCCCTGCAGAAATCCTTGGTGATCGAGTGCTCTGTGGCAGACCAGAACAGTTGTTCACCCTTTGTTATCAAAGAGGAGCAATGACATTAATGGGCCACGTGTTGACTCGCCCATGAATCGGATTTAAATGAGGCAGAGTCGCACAAAGTCATGGCCTTGCTCTCTTCCAGAGTCGTTAGAATCCAGCAGCGAGGCAGAGGTCAGGATGATTGATGATGGCTTGGGGTGCTGCGGCTGACCTTGGCGTCTTCCACGTCTAACCAAGCTCTCCGAGCTCCACAGCGCCTGCTTCAGCCGCTTTTGTGGCAACTGGAACAAGCTGCTCTTCTCCCTCCCCCCCCCCCCCCCCCCGCATTCTGTCAGAGAAGTCTTCACACATTTGCAGTAGACAGCCCACTAACTCACCGATGGGTTTGAGACCCCTCGGTTACCCTCAACCTGGTTTAGCCCAGACTCTGAGATGGTTTATCAGGGCGGGGTGGTGGTGGTGGCTGCTGCTCATGCTAGAAACGACAGCTGGCTGGCAGGTGGACACCAAAAGTGGATGGCTCTCCTGAACGCCCAGAGCCCGAGACACACCAGGAGCCTTTTGATCTGGAGCCCATGTCCAGAGAGGTTTCATCTTTTGGACCTATTTCAGGGCCCTCTTCTCTTGCAGGGGATTCCATCTTTTTATTCTGGAAAGTAAAAGTTCCGTTTGCTTTTTGTTTCAGATTACAAGGAGGCCATTTGGGTCTGTTTGAACTTTAAATGAGGGTCTGAAGTAGGAAAGCGACTTCAAAGGTGGAGAGGTGGGGTCACCGCCCCTCTGGTCTACCTTGGTCATAAAGAACCTCATCGTTAACATTTGGAGCATCAGGTCCACTTCTTTCCTTCCACAGCTTTCCCAGGAGGCCTTCCTTCCTTTCTCATCTGGCCCACCATTGGCTCCATCTGCCCAGAATCGGAGGCCATCTCTGGGAGTCCCAGATCACCTTCCACAAGAACATTTCAAGGGGAGAGGGAAAAAGGAAAAGGGTTCAGAGTTCAGAAGACACGTGGATGGGTGCACCAAAGTGGACACGGACAGGGTAAGGGACCTGCACAAAGTCACTTGGTCATCGAGTAAAGAAGGGGGCAGGGCAGTTGGTCAACTTACACTATGTTCCTCAGTGACAGCATGGGAGGGGTGATAAGAAAGGTCGGTCAGTAGGAGCAGGTGAAGAACTTCAGACACAGGCCTCCTTAGATGGGCTTGTAGTCCCCTAGGTAGCTGTCTGAAATTCCACTATTAGAAATTCATTCCTTTGGGCTGAGCCATTGGAAGCTCCAGTCCAAATAAAGAAATTATCCAAGGTTTCCTAGAGATGATGAGCTTTTGTGAGCAGTGTGACTGGCCAGAGACACTCCTTGGGAGGTTAGGGGATCAAGGGAACACAGAGGTGCCTGGAGAGGTCTTGATTTCCCATCATCCTCTCACTGTGGATAGGAGTCACTGACTTCCCTTCCCCAGGATTCAAGCTCCCTGAAGACATTCTAGTAATGTCCATTCTGAGCCAAAAAGTCAACCGAGTTTTAGGACCTACTACGTGCAGAGCACTCTGGCAGGCTCCGGGGACGTACAGAGTGGAGAGGAGCCCTTGGTGCTGCCTTCACCTCAGCATTCCAACAGCAGACAGCAATGCCTGCTCATTTTCCTGTTCTCTGCTGGGCTTTCTGTGTCTCCCCCACACCGAGGGCACTTGGTTTCTCTGCCAAGATGCACCATCTGTGACCAATTTCCCGGTGATGGGAAATCCCAAAGCAATTTCCCATTAAAGATCACATCTGCTCTGAAAGCCATGCCATAAGTGTTCCATTCTTGGAGAAGTGTTTTGGTAAAATGCATGTGGGCCAGCGATGGTGGGAGAGCCACATGGTCTGAGGTGGGAAGAACCATTAGCAGATGCTTGAGTAGCATGGATTCCCCTTCCCAGGGCCACTCCTCTAAGAGCCATGGAAGGGTCATTGGGAGGGTCAGAGCTTCCCCCAGGATGGGGACTTCATCCCCTCAGCAGCATTCTCAACCTCTGCTTGCACACTGCCAGGGCTGGGAAGCTCACTACCTATCATGACCTCTCAGCTCTGGCATCTTTGGATATTGGCAGTCTTTCCAAGACTCCCGGAGACTTGGAGCTGAGGGCGCCTGGGAACAGTGATACGGGGGCTAAGGCCCCACCCATTCTCCTATCTCCCCAGCCAGGTGCCCGAGGTGTCACCCCACCTCTTCCTCAGCCAGCAGCCGGTGCCAATTCAAGTTCTCACTTGGCCCCCAAGAGGAAATACGAGGATGAGCCTCCCCTTCTCCTCTGAGGAGATGGCAGCTGTGGGTGTGGACTGTGGTGTGCTCATTTGGCTGAATCGTTTTCTCCTCTTTTCTGTTTGTTATAGGCGACAGCTCCCTGGGAAGGGCGGGGGGAGGGACACATTGGCAAATGGAGGGGTTGGAAAACAAAAGGCATCAATAAGAAATGAAGAAAAAGCCCTGCTTGGGGAAGGTCCACGGGCTTCGTGGGAGTCGTTCAGGAGCGTCTGGGAACGCGCGCGCGGCTTTGCCTCCTCTGAGGGAGGAGAGGCGCCCCTCAAAACCACGAAGGCTGTTGGTCCATCCGGGAGCTGCCAGCTTAGAAGACATTTCGGGGTCTCCTGGCCACTGAGCTCGAAGATCTGACGTTGCGGTAGACAGCTTCCTTGTGAAAAGCTCCCTGTTTTTGGTGGGATGGTGGGGAGGAAGGGTGTCAGAAGTGTGGTGTGTGCTTGCGCGTGCACACATGTGTCTGGGTGTGCGAGCGCATGTGTGCACGTGCGCGTGCCCTGGCAAGGTGGTCACCGGGGAGTCAGCGGGAGAGGGAGGGAAAGCTTATTGTCCCTGTCACCACCAGCGGCAGGGAACATCGAGTCCAACCTTCTCATTTTACAGATGGAGAAACTGAGGCCAGTGACTTGTCCGAGGACAGAGAGGCAGAAAGTGGCGGGGGCCAGGTCTTCGCATCCCTCCTGCACACTGCGCTGGGCCTTCAGGGGACGCAGAGATGAAGACCCTTCGCTCAGGGACTCAGGAAGGAAGAGAAGCCGTCGCGCGTCGTTCCGACACCAAGGACGGGCTTGGCTGCGCGTACACGTCTTTCATGCCCTCCGTGCTGCCACCGAGCTGGCTGGAGCTAATTCTGCCCACTTGGCCTTCATTCCCAGCTCCCCTGCCTTTGTGCCTCCCTCCTTCGCCCCCCCCCCCCCGAGCGCACCGAGCCTCACATCTGCCTCCCAGAGCACCCAACCCCTCGCCAAGCTCTGCTCCGCTCCGCTGTCATCGTCCAGGCTGCAGACGCTTACCGGCTGTGTGACTCTGGGCGGGTCATTGAACAGCTGTCTGCCTTGGTTTCCTTATCTGTGAAGTGGGGATAATAATAGCACCTACTTCCCTGAGTTGTTGTGAGGATCAAACACTAGTGACATTAAATAATAATAAGGTAAAGCTCTTAGCGCGGAGCTTGGCATATAGTAGGTGCTTAATAAATGCACATTCCCTTCTTCCCCCGTCTAGTGCCTCGCTCTGAAATTATTCTGCAGATAGTTTGTGTTTAATTTTTCTTTGAACTCTGTGGTTCTCCCATGACAGAGTATACAGACAAAGGCCAGGGACTGCCTTGTTTCCTGTCCTTTGTCACTAGCCCAGTGCACAGGGTCTGGCCCACAACAGGCACTTAAAAGATGCTTATTGAAGGACCCAGTGAATGTAGACAAACTGGCCGTGACTGGTCGGATGGGACTGGGTAGGGGAAGAAAGGGAAGGGCCAAAGATGGTTCCATTCGGTGACTGGGAGAATGGAGGCCCCCGATCTTGGACCACGGCCATCCAGAGAGAACCAGACCTGGGGGTTGGTCCAGGCTGCTCCAGGGGCCCTGGGGGAGAGTCCTAGCAGGCAGCTGGAGATGCGTGGGGAGCTCAGGAGAGGGTGGGGGTGATGGGCTAGAGATGGGAACTCACAGTGGTGAGAGCCGGTTCTTTGGTAATGGTCTAATCCGGTGCAAGGAGGCCAGGCCTGGTGGCCGGCTTCAGGCCCAAGCCCACCTGACTGGGCTTCATGGTCCAGGAGCATGGTCACACTCCCATGCCAGGGAGGAGAAGGGAGGAAGATGGAGAGGAGAGCACCTGTGGGAGGGCGCTGCATGGAGGAGTCAACCAGACAGGGTGTTGGGGACTCCTGGGCTGCCGGGGCAGACAGATGACCCGGCGTGGAGGAGGCACCGACTGCCCTTGAGCAGGGGAGGTGCGGAGAAGAGCTCTGGATCCTGCCGGGGTCTTCTCAAGGCATGTGGAGAGCTGCAGGAGAGGGCAGTGACAGAGAAGAGGAGGCTGAGGAGGCCAGGCGGTGCGGAGGAGAGCAGGAACGTGCTTGTTTCGGGAGCATTTACTGACAAATTTTGGTTTTGTTTTTCAATTTCTCTTCTATTCCAATTAAGTGCTTTTGGGGACTCTATGATGTGGTTTGCTGGCCCAAGAGTAAGCAGCCATCTATACCCAGATCTCTTCAGAGGTGGGGGGCCAAAATCACATGAGGTCCACTGACCAGAAAATACCCCCTGATAAACCTGAAGTCCCTCCCACCTCCCCTTCTCAGAGCCCCAGGGCAGTCAGAGAGGTTGGAGGCCGACCCTGCCTGGTTGGGTAATCCGGTCCCCAGGACCTCCTCTGTGGGCTTGGCTTTGGCATCTTTGAATGAGAAGGGCCACAGGGGAGGGTGGCACATCGCTCTTCCTCCTCCCTTTCCTCGCCCTTTCTCTTCCCACCTTTCCCTTTCTTCCTCTTGCCTTTTTCACCCACCCCCTCTGCTAAAACAGGGAAACCAATAGATGGATTAACTGAGAAACCACTCTAGTCAGCTGTTGCTTTTCCTGTGGGAATGCCAGCCTTGGGGTTTGGACTCCCCCTTTGTGTGTGACCTTGGGCCTGTCCCTACCCACGGACTTAGGATTCCCCATCCAGGAGATGAAAGTGCCCAGAGCTCTTCCCAAGAGGGAAAGAAAGTCAATCAATACCACATCATGCCTGCTCAAGAGAAATAAGTCAGTGGGTAAACCAAAGGCGTGAACGAAGCGCAGACATCAGCAGCCTCAGGGGAAGCCCTTTGTCGAGTGAGAAGTTCTTGGGACTTCCGATGAAGTGAAACGATGTCCTGCAGGAGGCATATACAGATTGGTGCAGGACACCGGACAGACCTTGTGGGCTTTCTACAAACCAGCCACCTGATTGGGAAGCATTTGCCAGCCAGCGGAAGCCTCCCGGCACGGCCTAAGACGGAGCAGCTCGGGGGCAGAGGGGAGGTAAAGGAGAAGAAGAACCCAGTCTCAGTCTTGGCCTTGTGGTCTCATCCTCTCCTCCTACCCATGACCAGGGGAGAACCTAGTGAACTGGGGGCGTGCCAGAGAGGGAGGATTTGGGACTTCTCCTTCAAGTCCTAATAGTGTTTTACCAAGACTCCAGAATGATCCCAGCAGAAAGCTACAGGAAGACTTCCAGAGCCTGGTGTGAAGGGGAGGAAAGGGCTTCCTGCAGCTGAGGATCTCCCCCTTTGCCTCATGCTGTCTCTAAGCTTGAGCCCACTTTCCCCTGGACTCTTGAAGTACCGGGAGGAGAGTGTGTTACAGGCGGGAGGGGTAGGTTGTGCCAACTGTTTGTATGAAGTGATTCCACGAACTGTTCCTGCCGCCACAGCAAATCGATCTTGTTGAGTCAGGCTCACCAACAGGTATCAATGATAGTCATTGTGGAAAATACACCAGTGGGGGGCCACTCCAAAGGTGACCCCTGAGGGCTCCCCTAGATCCTGGAGGGGGCAGGCTTGCAAAGGTTGGAGAGGGAGCCAGAGAATGGGATGCCCTTGGAAAGGAGGGGGCTTCCCCAGACGAATCAGCAGTGCCCTCCCTCCTGATCCCCACCCCTCCTACGAGAGGCTTTGCCAATCCCTCCAGCTGGTAGAACTTGTAACTTCTGGGAAGCGCATTATGTTCATTCTGTGCGTGTGTGTGTGTGTGTGTGTGTGTGTGTGTACACATGCTGTTCCCACCTCCATAGAGCATAGGCTCCCAGCAGACAGGGATGATTTGATTTTTGTCACTCTGTCCCTGTGCCTCATACAGGCGCCTAATAAATAATTAAATGGAATGTTTCATATGAGCCATTTTTTAGGTGCGCATGCCATGCATGTGTTTGTACATGTGCATATGTATGTGGATGTCTATGTTTTATGTAGGTGGATACATGTATTGTCATACACGTATTTGTAAGTGTGTACCTATAAACACTGGTATACACGGGAACTCCTTTAGGTACATGTGTGTAAACATGTGAGTGTGAGTGCGTGAATGTGAGTGCTGGGCATGGAGACACACTGAATAGTCAGAGTGATCGTGTGCTAAAGTATCGGGACGCCTGGGAGTTTTCTGGGCAAACCCAGGACTCTCACTTTCGTGGTCAGGGAGAGGAGCCCAAGGGAGAGGGATACAAGGCATCCTCTTTGTTGGGCGCTATGGCCCGTTGCAGTCTTCCTCCCCAGGATGCGCTGAGTGGGAATGTCTGGTGGACTCACATTATGATGATGGGAAAACTTGTCTATATTAAATAGCTGGTGCATAGGAATTGGCATGAAAGATATTCAGGAAATGAGACTGGAAAAGGTAGGGAGGGAGCTTGATAGATAACAGATGTCAGCCCAGCCTTCATGCTCACAGGTCCAATGAATGGACAATTGTTCTTTCTCCCCAGGCACCTTAAAGGCTAACAAAATAGATCAAGATGTCAGTCAGTGATCAAATGGGACCAGATAAGCAGAGCACCCAGGCCCGCCCAGCCATAGCCACTCTTGATTGGGTGGGCTTGCTGCAGATTTTAGAATCCTACCAATGGGATTTAAGATCTATAAACTGAGTCAGATCGACATAACACAGAGGGTGTCAGAAAAGACATTTAACTGTAACACAGGGGATGAGTACAAGCAGTTCATCAGAAGCAAGATGGCAGACCCAGATGAGGAAGGACGATAAGACCTCAGCAACAAGCAAGACCATTTCCTAAAAAAATTGTACCAATGAAAATAAATGGTTATAACAAGGAGATCCAAAGTTCCTGAGATCACTTTGGCCAGCTTGATGGAAAAAAACAACAACATGGCCATGTAGGGAGAATGAAGGACAGCCAACAGGCCTGAGTGCTCTTCTCCCATCTGCTCAGTGGTAAGAGATGGAGAGCATGTTGGGTGGAGGGCATGAATAAGAGTCACATGGAACAGTTGAGCACAAATGGGTGGAAATCTGAACCACTGGAGAAGGTTGAAATCATGGCGCCATTAGAGCACTGACTTATCAATAGATCATCGATTTTGCCTCTTAATTTCTTGTGAGATAAAACTGATTTAGCATTTATTCTCCCTCCATGATTCTGAAAAACAAAACACTCACTTATCTTCTAGGTGGTTCTTTAAAAGTTAGGTTGGGAATCAGAAGGCAACAAAGGCAGGACAGATCTTACTCCCTCCTCAGAGGATCCAGAGAAGACTGACACCTGAAATGAGAATCAGCAAGAGTCCATTTCCCTCTTTGGGTGGGCCCACTTTCTTTTTAAAGAATATTTATCTATGTTTGGTTTTCAACGTTCACTTTTATAATATTTTGAGTTTTAAATTTTCTGTACCTTCTTCCCTTCTCCCCTCCCCAAAGACGGCGTGCAACCTAATACAGGCCAAATATGTACAATCATATTAAACATATTTCCACATCAATTATGTTGTACAAAAGAATTAGAACCAAAGGGGAAAGCCATGAGAAAAGAAAAGAAAAAAAGAAAACAGGGCGCTTTGATCTGCATTCAGACTCCATAGTCCTTTCTCTGGATGTGGACAGCTTTTTCCATCGTGAATCTTTTGATTTGTCTTAGGGCGTCGCGTTGCTGAGAAGAGCTAAGTCTCTCAAAGTTGGTCATCACACAGCGTGGCTGTTACTATGTACAACATTCTCCTGGTTCTGCTCACTCCACTCAGCACCAGTTCATGCAAGTCTTTCCAGCTTTTTCTGAAGTCCACCTGCTCATCATTTCCTACAGAACAATGGTATTCCATTATAGTCGTATACCACGACTTGTTCAGCCAATCCCTGACTTATGGGCATCCCCTCAATTTGCAATTCTTGGCCACCATGAAAGGAGCTGCTAGAAATATTTTTGTACATGTGGGTCATCTCTCCATTTTTATAATCTCCTTGGGATACAGACCTGGCAGTGGTATTGCTGGATCACAGAGTATGCATAGTTTTATAGTGGTGGGCCCACTTTCAATGCTCTATCCCCAACATCATCCCCATGACTCACAGGAGTACCATAGCAATGGCAGTACTCCATTGGTTCTACCTTTGAGCTGTTGACCACTGTTCAGTAATCTTTCTACAGATACCTTCGTTCCTTCTCTTACTAGATAGTCCCAGCTCTATGGCAACTAGGTAGATTACCCAAGTCGCTGACAAAGATGCTAGGGGCCCAGGGTCCCACAC